ACTATTTCCCCACCAGTCCTGGGAGGTTCTGGGAACTGTTCCTAGCCTGAAGTCTATTTTTGTATTTTCATTCTTTTAACATATTTATCATGACTTCTTTGTTAAATCTGGCATCTGGACATTTTATTTTACTTTTTAAAAAGTTAATCATTTTGTTGAGGGGCTTTTACAAATCTTATAACAACCCATCATTCAATTTTATTAAGCACACTTGTACATATGTTGCCATCAACATTTCCAAAACATTTTCTTTCTACTTGAGCACTTGGTATCAGCTCCTCTTTTTGCCCCTCCCTTCCCCGCCCTCCCACCCTTGTGAATCCTTGATCAATTATATATTGTTATTTTATGTCTTACACTGCCCATTGTTTCCCTTCACCCACCTTTCTGTTTTCTGTTTACATTGAGTTGTCATGCAATCCTTGATCTTCATTAGCAAGCGCTTCAAGTCCTCTTCATTTTCAGCAAGCAAACTTGTGTCATCTGCATATTGCAAGTTGTTAATAAGCCGCTTTCTAATCCTGATAATGTTGTTCGTCATCTAGTCCAGCTTCTCTGATTATCTGCCCAGCATACAGATTTAATAAGGATGAGGAGAGGATGCAATTCTGATGCAATGCACACCTTCCTTGATTTCAAACCATGCATGTTCCCTTGTTCTGTTCATACAACTGCCTCTTGCTCCACGTACAGGTTCTGCATGAGCGCAGTGGCGTGGTCTGGAATCCCCTTCTTCTCAAGGCTGTAGATGGTTTGTTAGGGTCCACACAGTTTCATGCTCTTGTACAGTACTTTAGGAAGGCTATGTCTAATGCAAGGGGAAGCTTCTCATGCTGCTCGTCAGAGGGTGCAACCTTGGGTGTGCACATGGTCGCCATGGATGACAGGCGATTTAGCATGGCTCTCATTAATTGTCTGCCTGTTGGTCACACATAGCTATTAGATTCCACGAGTTGCGGGCTCATTATTATTTTCACGGTGCCCTGGGATTTAAATGGTTTATAGCCTGATCCAATTAAACTCAGACTTCTTTGCAGGGCCAGCATTTGGGGCGGTCCTTTGAAGTCTGTCCTCACTGGAGGAGGGCTAGGTTTAGTGGTTCAGTTCGCCCTGTGCTCTTTGGTTCTTGTGGTGGCTACCAGCCTATTCGTAATTGTTGATCACCAAAATCCCCATGGTTTTTGGGAACATTCTTAGGTTTGAACTTCCTCGCAGTAAATTTTGGGAGAATTTAGTCATCTCCGTTCCTACTGACTCCCTCTTACCATAGTTAAACATGAGTCTACAGTCGGTGGCTGGGGCTGAGATAGTGTCCCACTAAAATCAGAGTGACACTCCTGTTTTATGAGCAGGGACCGTGT